GCAGCATTGTGCTTATTCCCTGATTAAGAGGAGGGAAATATAAATAATGTTTAGGGTAGTGAAACATGTTCTCTTAATAAGTTTCTTTTTATCTTATGAATTCTGCATGAGCAACTTTCGATGTCCGGCCAAGGCTTTACGAAATCAAGTTTGCAAGCGGTGTACTTGACGAGCTTCTTTATCTGGGTATGCCGTCTGAACGCAGATTCCCTTCGGGGATTATGACGTTAGAGTATACAAAAGCTGTTCAGGAGACTGTGTATGAACATATCCGTGTTGTTCGTGAAGGTCATCTTAGGATTATATTCTCTCAAGAGCCTAAGGTTCAAAGATCTTTTGATTTCACATACATTTCTTCCTTTTCATGTATTTTGAGCAGTTTAGCTTATCCTTCTGCTTTTCACCAGATTCTCTTATGGGAGTTCTGTACTCGCCTTGTAGCCCCACAGGTAGAAAACGTTTTTGCTTGCAATTTTTGAAACTCTATTTGGAATATAATGTCGGGTCCTGAGATTTTGGGAATGTCGTGTCTCACAGGTTTATGCAGGTGAACCAATTGATTCAGGTTGCAGAGAAATGCCAGAGCACAATCGATCAAAGTAGAATGTGAGTCGATGAGTCTATAACGACTTCTACTTCTTCTTTTGTGGTGATTAAGTAAGATTCTTCTATGCAATGAAATTGAGGCGTTTTCAGCTTGGTAGATACATTTATGTTGTGCCAAATCTTTTTCCTCCAGGGTCATATGGCTTCTGGACGTTAACTAGCGAAAAGCTTGGATTCACATTCACTCAATGACTTAGGCTTCTCCAAACGATATGTTCGGTGTTTGCAGGTATCTGTCTCCTTACTTTCTTAATACAGTAATTTCTTAATTTCTCTGCATCATCTTGAGTTCTGCCGTGACCAGAAAGTTGATCCAATCAGTAAATTCATACACAACTCTGGAATTTCGAATCCGAACAAACTAGACCAACTTTATGTAACCACAACTACAATCAGGCAACAAGGTTATGAGAAAGACTGTAAGAACCAAATCCAAGACCAGAGGAAGAAGAGCAAGAGAAATTTGCAGCAGAGGCTCTAGTTGACATGTCATTGTCAGAGGTTGGTAGAAAGTCCAACATCCCAGCCTCTGATTGTATCACTCCTCCTCTGCATTGGTTCACTTTTTTCAGGTTCTTGAGTAATCAGGAGTCTTCTAAAGAAGAAGAAGATAGATGATTTTGTCTTCTGTAGCAGAGATTGTTTACTCACTCTCACACCACATAGGAGATTACTTAAAACTCACTAAAGCAGTGAAACTACTTTTTTTTTTTAGAACTACAGTAGATGATACTCAAAGAGGTTTACATAATAAATATAATATACCACAGATATGTTTTTTTTGGAGATTTTTAGTGCCCTTAATCTTTATCATACAGGACTTGAATCTTAAATGAAAAGCTTTTAAGTAGGAGAAGGTGTTGGGTAAAGTAAGGGTTTTGAAGAGTTGGTTAAAGGAGATCATCATCGTCCCAAGAATGGCGGTAAGTCTCAGATTTTCCAGGGAATTCAATGTCACTGACAGACACAGATCCTTTCTCCGATCCTCCAGATGTGGAAATCCTATGTAGTCTGCGTATTTGTCGTTATACTGCAAAATACACATTTTAAAACAAAAAAACAGTCTTTTAAGAAGGATCTTCTTTGAAAATAAACAAAAAAAACGAAAACAGAGAGAGGAACTGCGAAATTTGTACACTGAAATCGCAAATGTCGTGAGTGTTGCGTTTGGGGATACCGTCGGCTTCTCTGGATTGGTAGATTCCGCGATTGATTGCATCATTTGCTCGGAAGGAGGAAGAGAACCCCAGTCAACTGCCAAAAGTTTAAAACCGTCTTTTGATTAATGTTGGTATTCATGATGATTAAGGTTTTTGGTTTAACTAACCAAACCATCTTTGCCGACAAAGGAGAGAGAAAGTATGTTCGAAGAGTGGGCCCACTCTATAGTGATCAACTGCTACTCTTCCTTTACTCTCAAGAAATGGAAATTTGTACCAACACCTGCAAAGCAAATTTTCATATTCTTCTTTGTCAATAAATATTAAACTGAAGACATATGATTTCCAAAATCTAGTGGTAAATAAGAAAACGCCAATGAGAGATGTTTATTCATAAATGCATTACAGATTACATAGTACTCCTTTTTTGAAGGATTTTCTCTATTTGTTTTCCTAAAATTATTTTCCTTATTCAGAAATAATTTATATGCTATTTTCAAAACTCCACAATATAAATGAATTGAACAATTTTTTATAATAAAAATAAAAAAGGAACTATTTTTTTTCCTAATAATAATAAAAAAAGGAAATTTTACATAATAATTTTACTAGAATACCAAAAATACTTATGCACAGCATGTAATATTAGTATATATATAACACCACGCACAAGACCGAGAGCCCTAATATAAATTGCGGCTGAGTTTTTTTTTGACCTAGCGTGGGAAGAATGGCGAGAACGAGGATGTGCGATCTGCCAGAGAAACTGATTGGGGAGAAGATACTGACGAGGGTTCCCATAACATCGCTGGGAGAGGTGCGATCGACCTGCAAATCGTGGGACGCTTTAACCAAAAGGTGGATTTTGGGTAACGAAGCGACATCAAAGGAGCAGTTTTTGGGGTTCATGACGATGAACTCCAAGGTTTGTTCCCTGAGCTTCCAGCTGAAGCACAAGGGCGAGGTTGATCTGTCTATAAAGCAGGTTAATACGCTTGATCAAGTCGAGATATCTCAAGTCTTTCACTGTGATGGCTTATTGTTATGCGTCCCTAAGGACATGTCGAAGCTCGTGGTGTGGAACCCTTATTTGTGTCAAACCCGGTGGATCGAACCCAGGACAAAGCTTAGTGGATTTGATAGATACGCTCTTGGATATGACGTGAACCGTAACCACAAAATCTTGAGGTTTCTGCAGGCCGACACTGTTGGACGAGAAAAGTACGAGCTGTACACGTTTAGCTCTAGTTCATGGAGGGTCCTCGATATAACTCGCGACTGGGGAATGGAACACTATAGTGGCCGCGGAGTGTCTGTCAAGGGAAACGCCTACTTTTATACTCATGAGAACTCACGTCACGAGGATGCATTTGGATTCGAGATTCAAGAGACTCAAGATTTCTTACACTGTTTTGATTTCACAAGAGAGAAATTTGGACCGCTTATGCCTCTTCCGTTTCACTCTGGTATGAGTGTCACACTCTCATGCGTTAGAGATGAGCAGCTTGCGGTGCTGTCTTACAACCAGGAGGATGAGTTTTGTGGCAGTGTTGAAATTTGGGTTACCACTAGGGTTGAGCCCAACTCTGTGTCCTGGAGCAAGTTTTTGAGAGTTGAAAGGGTCGGTGTTGAGTTGGACGCATATGATGGTGGGAGCTTCTTCATTGACGAGCAAGAGAAAGTCGCTGTGGTGTTTGCTTGTTACCGCACCGCTTTTATCCTTAGAGAAGACGGATACCATAAATCTCTGAGTCTCGGAGAAGCTTCCATTCTCGTAAAACGTTCTAGAAGCGGGTATCCTCTTCGGGAGACCGCACGCGTTTGCTCCTCCTCTTATCGTCCCAGTTTAGTGCAAGTCTAGGAAAAACAAGTTTATGTTTATGTTTATGTTTTCTTTTTCTGGTTTTTGGCTTTTTTTCTTTTCATGCATCTTTCTACTTTTTGTTAATCGGACCCATGCAAGTTGCAAATTAAACACTCCATTACACTGAAATTGTATTTTGGAGAGTTGATTACGTTGAAAAGCTATCAATTTTATGGATATCTGGAATTATGTTGGCAGATCAATCATATAGGAAAGAAATTACAAAAATATTTTTTAATATTATTAAATTATCCCTTTTTCAACTTACATACGATTGAATTTGTACAAATAAGTATTTCAAGGCATGCGATCTCTCTATATAAAACTTAAATGAAACTTTGTAAAAAAAGCTTTGGTATTATTACTTCCTTAAAACATTAGAAATCGAAGGGTCAACACTATAGAAGAAGATGGGAGGACAAGCAAATAATTTGCAAGTCTTTAACAAATTGTTTAAGGGAAAACTGGATCATATATGTAGATTTGATTCATCTAAAAATGATATATGTACTTGCTTCCTGGAAAAATATTACACGCGTGGCAACAAATGAACACATTTTCTTACCGTCACCAGGCTGTGACGTAGAATAATATCTGTATTTGTAAGGAAAAATCAAAATCTGTATTTTTGGCTTTTTTTTTTTCCAATTCAAAAATTCAAAGCCGGCTTTTTTCATTTTCTTTTCAAACACATCAAATATTATTTGTTTTCTCTGCTCCAGGGGAAATCAAAAAGGTCGAACCTTTAATCTCCTGGAGCGATCAATTTCACTTTTTTTCATCAAATCGCTGACTCCGTAGACTCTCGTCGTCGTCTTTGATCGTTCCGACGAATTCCGGTTAGTTCGATTTGATCATCCGCTCTCTCAAATTTTTCTGGGAATTTTCAACGGTTTGATTATCGATTTCTTTGTTCTTTTGATTAATTATTTCGAACGTATGTCGTTGATTGATTAGAGAATATAGGTTAGGTTTGTGTTCCTTACAAAAAAAAGCTCTTTTGCAGTTGAAAGACTTGAGTCTTTTCCCTTCTCGTTTCATGGTTGACGATGATAGTCAAGGTCCAAATTTGTTGTCAAGGTTTTGGTTTTCTGTAGTGGAAAGATGAAATGGAGATTGCCATTTGTTTCTTCTGTAAAAGTTGTGTACGATTGGATTGAAGCTGATGATTTCAGATGAATTAGTACTGCTTACGAGTTATGAGTTTTTGTCAGAATGTAAAACATACACAATTTGCTAAGAATGACGAAATTATTGAGTATTGATCTTCCTATGTTCTTCTTGTTCGAAACAGGTTTCAAGTGATTTGTTTGAAGTGATTGGTATTTAGAAAATGCCTTCTCTCATCTCACAACAATGGCAGGAGAGGACTAGTGGGTTCTTTTCTTCATCAGGTTAGCTAAAATTCTACACGAACCTCTCTTTTTTTGTTCTGTCTCTGTTTGTCTGTGTGTGTTGCAAGGCTTATTATGTTTTTTTTTACTGAATTAGGAACGAAGCTTAGAGAAGCGAGTCAATCAGCTGGTAGTTTTGTCGGTGAGGTCGCTAAAGATGCGAAAGTGAACGTTGCAGATGTTGCAGAGAGAGTTGGCTCCTTGTTTAAAAGCCGGTGGGCGATTCTTCAGCAGCCTGCAACTAGACACGCCGTGCAAGAACACTTCATAACAGCTGCTGCCACAACCGGGACATTGGTCAGGAAGGGTATAACAGAGACTAAAGAAAAAGTTTCCGTTGGAAAGACCAAAATGGAAGAGGTATATACGAACCAATAGCTTCTCGAAACTTACTCGACAAGAATGCATTTATTCGGCTAAAATTCGGTCTTTGTTTTCTCTTTTAGGCGGCAAAAAAGACTGCACAAAAGAGCAAAACCCTTTTGACTGACATTGAAAGGTGGCAGAAGGTATTTTGAGCCTTAAGATCTGATTCTAGCTCATGATTTGAATGATTTGAGTTTTGGTCTCTAATATCTGTTTTTCTTTGTCAAATCTGCAGGGAGTTGCCAGCTCAGATGGTAAGATAATAACTTTTTATGGAACCGTTTATAATCGCTATTTAGTGACTAAGATTCTGCTTGGCTTGTTGGAAAATGCGTTCACTTTGACTATATGGCAATTTTTTTATGTGCTCAGTGTTTGGTGTTGCGATTGAGATCACTGTCCAGCGGCAGGAATCAAGTAGGCCTATTCCATTCATACTGATTAAATGCGCAGATTATCTCATATTAACAGGTAAGAAATGTTGAGACCAATCACACGTAAAGCTTTATACCTCTCGTACAGAGTTATCAATGTCTGTATTTTCTTTGTACTCAGGTCTTAATTCACCAAGCTTGTTCAAAGCCGAAGGAGACAAAAAGTTGATTCACCAATTGGTTTCTGCTTGCAATCAAGGTACCAAACATTCTTAAAACAGTTTCTGCTTACAATCATCTGTTTGATTGTGTTTGATGAATCATTTGTTTTGGCAGATCCAAGCGCGTCAATACCTGAGGGTGTGAATCCAGTTGATGTCGCTGCACTCATGAAATACTATCTTGCTAGCCTTCCGACTCCACTTACTACTTTTGAGCTTTACAACGAGATCAAAGATGCAAGATCGAGCGTAAACAGAATGAGAAAGTCACTCCAGAAGCTTTCCAATGTGAACTATAATACGTTGGAGTTCGTAACAGCGCTATTGCTTCGTGTGAGCCAGAAATCTCTACTTAACAAGGTAAGGAACATCTTATATATAATCACTTAACATAAGAATCAGATAGATGAGAATCGTTTTCTTGCATGTTGTTGACAGATGGATTCACATAGCCTAGCGATGGTAATGGCTCCGGTGATCATGTGGCGAGAAGACAAGAGGCCTGAATCTTACAGGGAATATTGGAGACGCCCGTCGAGGAGTCCTAAGAGAAGCAACGACTTTGAAAATGCTTCTCCATGGGACTTGCTCTCAGGTAAAACACTTTGCTCCTTATAATGTTTACCATTTGAAGCAAAAAGCTCCATTATGATGATGGTTCATTTTTTTTTATATGTTTGATGGTTACAGAGGAAGGAGAAGGTTTAGATGGATCTTCATCGATTTCTCTAGATGATGTCGTTCAAGTTGATTTTGGTGCGGTGGAGGTTGTGCAGTGCCTTGTTGAACATCACAATGCCATTTTCACGGATGCTGACGAAACTGTATGGAGGTGAAAAGTGAAAACAAGTTTAACCAATTCCTGACCGAACCTGAAGAAGATACAGTTAGAACAACATAATGCATTTTGATCTCGATGAATGAGGATGGTTAACTTCTAGTGGTTTCAGTAAATAAGCTTTCTTTTCATGTGATTCTTGTATAACCCTTTTAGACTTTAGTAATTGTTTAAAAACAGGTTTTTTTTTTTTTTTTGTTTGTTGACCTAATAAGAAATCAATATTCGGATGGTTTTCTTATCATAATTATAATACAAAATCATGATCAGTCCCTAAAACCGATTGGGCTAAATCGGGCCTATGATTGTCGTTACTTTGCGATAAATAAATAGAACCCTAATTTGAATTTGAAGAGCTTGCGGCGTTTATCGATACATAAATAGAACCCTAATTTGAAGAGTTTTGTTTTGACCTAGAGTGGAAATAATGGCGAGAACGAGGATCTGCCAGAGAAACTGATTGGGGAGAAGATACTGACGAGGGTTCCAATAACGTCGTTGAGAGAAGTGCGATCGACCTGCAAATTGTGGGACGCTTTAACCAAAAGGTGGATTTTGGGTTCCAAAGCGACGACATCAACAGAGCAGTTTTTAGGGTTCATGACAATGAATTCCAAGGTTTGTTCCCTGAGGTTCCAGCTCAAGCACAAGGACGAGGTTGATCTGTCTATAAACCAGTTGGATTTGCTTAACCAAGTCGAGATATCTCAAATCTTTCACATCCGTGGCTTATTGTTATGCGTCGCTAAGGTCAACGTGGAGGTCAACTTGCAGGACAACAAGTTTGAGGACTTGGAGGACAAGGTGGAGCTCTTTGTGTCGAACCCTTATTTGTCTCAAACAAGGTGCGTCAGGCCCAGAACAAAATTCAACATTGGGGACAAGTACGCTCTCGGATATGACTCGAACCATAACCACAAAATCTTGAGGTTTAGGGATCGCTACACTGGTGAACCAGAAGAGTACGAGATCTACGAGGTCAGCTCTGATTCATGGAGGGTCCTCAATGTCAATCCCTACTGGGAAATACCACCTTATCGCCTCGGAGCGTCTGTGAAGGGAAACGCCTACTTTTATGCTCTGGAGAGATCAGGTGAGGATGTAGATCAAGGGAGTGTGATAGAGGAGGCTGACGAGTTCTTGCTCTGTTTCGATTTCACAAGAGAGGAATTTGGACCTCGTCTGCCTCTTCCGTTTCACACTGTTGGCGACGAGTGTGTGACCCTGTCATGCGTTGGAGATGAGCAGCTTGCGGTGCTGTATTACAAGGAGGGTGTGAGCGATGATTCATGTGGCAGAGTTGAGATTTGGGTTACCACTAGGGTTGAGCCCGGGTTTGTGTCGTGGAGCAGGTTTCTGAGAGTTGATATGAGACCGTTTGCACTCACCGGTGTTAAGTTTGACGCGGAGGATGGTGGGAGCTTCTTCATTGACGAGCAAGAGAAAGCCGCTGTGGTGTTTGATCTTGATGGATATCTACCCGCGAAGGCCCCTCGTTACCACACGGCTTTTGTCATCAAAGAAGACGGACTCTTTGAATCTGTGCGTCTCGGAGCAGCTCCCACTCTCGGAAAACGTTGCCCCAAAACCGGGTATCATCCGCAGATTCATGTCCCCGCACTTGTTTGCTCTCCTTCTTATCGTCCCAGTTTCGTGCAAGTCAAGCAACCGCCGCGCAAAAGGAAAACAAGTCAGGTTTAGATTGTTTCTTGTTTTCATGTTTCGTTTCTAGATTGATCTCTCTCTCGTGTTCGATGCTTTTTCTCCTTAATCGCTCGTTGTCTTTTGATGAGACTTTGCATAAATGAATGTAGTCACTTGCAGTTATAACTTATATGCCACAAAACTCTTAATGGACAAACGAATATATCAAAGAACGCACACCTTCAGAAGCCTAACCCTAATGCATCACATAGAGTGCGTCTTAAAAGCTTTCTTGACGAATATATTTTGTTCTGGTCTACTCATTTTTTGTGCTCTGATGTTGGCCAAACACTCATTTTGGTCCTATGAACTCTCCTCTTGTTGGTCCTAACAATCACGATACCATATCGATGGCTGTCATTGACAAATTAATTAGATGAGTTTCAGATGTATTTTCTCTAATAAACACATTTGCGTAGATGGTTGAAAAGAATCAAATTTTGTCAACCTCATCACAATTTGATAAAAAATGATTTGACACTAATTTGTATATATTGCTCACATGAAGCCAAATTATATGCCATTTACAAAGAAAAAGTTACCATATTTGTCTTTTTATTTGCATTCAAACCCGGTAGTTGTATGATTATGATTCGAAAATAGCCCGAATATTGATTCTTATTGTCATTTCGAGTAACAATCAGTGATAATTTTTAATGTTTTTTTATCTTACCAAATCGGTTAATCAAAATTGACCGAGTAAACCGGACAGTCATGAGTCAGATCGATTGACCTTGAAGTCAAACAGAGCAGAGATACATTTGGTTAGCTTTCTTGAGCTGAGCTCACGGCCATGGCGAGAAGCGATCTTTCGAGTTTTGCCTCTACTCTCCTTCTGTTTCTGCATCTACTGACGGTAAGCGTTCTTAACGAGTTTCATCTTTCCTCTGATTGTGAAAATCTCAAGTCAAATGAATCTGGGAAAATACAAATCGGATCTTTGATCACTTTAAGATAAAACCGTTTTGGGTTTCTACCTCTAGGTTGAGGTATTTCTCTGAATTTCGAGATTCGGACGCCAGATTTTTGCCAATTTTAGTGCTTTACTTGATATGAATACACATACTTTTGAAAATGCTGGTACAAGTCGAATCCTTTAGCTCTTGGTTTCGGATGCTCTGAGTTGGATAAACTTATTCATGAAACTTGCGTGGGCTCTGTTATTGGATTTCAGGTAGCCGAAGCGGAAATGGTTAAGTCTGACAAGTTTCCGATAGTGGTGAGTACTTGGCCTTTCCTTGAGGCCGTTAGAGCCGCTTGGAGAGCAGTTGATAATGGAAGCTCTGCAGTAGAAGCTGTTGTGGAAGGTTGTTCTGCTTGTGAGGAACTCCGCTGTGACGGCACAGGTGTGAGACTATTCTCTTTTCTTCTTGCTCTTATCCTCTAATGTTACTTTCTGAAAGTGAAAAATGTTTCCTCTGTTGGTGTTGACAGTTGGGCCTGGAGGAAGTCCGAATGAGAACGGTGAGACCATGATTGATGCTTTAGTCATGGATGGGGTAATAAAATCATCAACATCCTCTGTTCTATGATCCCCGTTTGCATCAAGATCTTGAAGAATGACTCTCAAGTCTGTTTTTTTTCTTTTTCTGGTTATTGTAAGGACATTCTTAGGTGACTATGGAGGTTGGAGCTGTTGCTGCAATGCGGTATGTCAAAGACGGTATAAGAGCTGCAAGAATGGTGATGAAATACTCTCAACACACATTGCTAGCAGGGGAAGGAGCATCAGCGTTTGCAATCTCCATGGGTCTTCCTGGACCAACGAACCTAAGCTCCCCTGAGTCTGTAAAGAAGTGGTCGGACTGGAAGGAGAATCGATGTCAACCTAATTTCAGGAAGAACGTAGTCCCTGCAAATGACTGTGGACCTTACAAGCCAGAGGATGGTGCTATGGATGTTTCTTGCGAGATGGGGAAGATTGAGTATAGACCTCCTCTTGTTGGTCCTCACAATCATGATACCATATCAATGGCTGTCATTGACAAAGTAAGACGAGTTTTTTCAGATAATTTCTCTAATTATTTTGTTGTTGTTGTTATGATAAGAGAAGCTGAGTGTAGACTTTCAATAGATGGGGCATATAGCTGTTGGGACGTCAACCAATGGAGCCACATTCAAGATTCCTGGGAGGTAACGCCCTTAAAACCAAGCCTATCTATCTCAGCTGCCTCCTGAATATTGTTGGAAATGTGCATATTTCTTTGGTTATCAATATAGCTTCTGAATCCTTTTCTAATTTTATGATATTATGGAAACACAGAGTGGGGGATGGGCCTATCGTCGGCTCATCAGCCTATGCCGATGATGAAGTAGGTGGATGTGGTGCAACTGGAGATGGTGACATCATGATGCGCTTCCTCCCTTGGTAATGACTCAACCTCCTGATGTTTTGCAGTGGTCATTGATGAGTGTTGAGCATGTTAAAGGTTTTCTCATGTTTCTTTAGTGTTAAAGAAAGCTTATTATGATTCTTCTTCTTCTTCTTGGACGAGGTTTTAGTTACCAAGTTGTGGAGAGCATGAGACAAGGAATGAAAACAGAAGAAGCTGCCAAAGACGCCATCTCGAGAATAGCCAGGAAGTTTCCGGATTTCGTGGGGGCGGTTGTGGCTGTTGACAAGAACGGGTCTCATGCAGGAGCTTGTTACGGTTGGACGTTTCAGTACTCAGTCCAGGACCCTGACATGGACGATGTTCAAGTCTTCACGGTGCTTCCATGAAACCGGTAAATTTTCTCTACTAAGAATCTTATGGATTGATTGTTTCTTGAAGTTTTTGGTATGGATGAAAAAAGTAGGAGGTTTTGCTAAAAGTGATTGTAGTTTGTAGATAAAGAAACGGCACGAAGTTCATTTCTGGAAATACGGAACGGCAAGCTCGTTTGGAGTATTTTGAACTATTGTTTCTTTAAACAGAAATCTGTCCCCCATTGGCCAAATTTTAGTTTCTTGGGATTTGTCTGAATTGATCAGACAAAGGGGACTAAGGAATTTTTGTAAAAGTAAACAACAAAACATATGAACATAGTTGACTTTCTGTAATATTAGTGATTAAATATAAACTCTGTTTTGTGAAAACACGAGCACATAAGTAATCATAAACTCTGTTGAGGGAATTCCTCGGTATATCCTCTATGATTCTATAAGACTATAATTTTGCAGTTCATAAAGAATGATAAATATATACAATACATGCTATAGTTTATGTAATATTAGAATAAGTAATCATATATAGAGTTTTAGGTTAGAAAATGGTTGAAAATGAAAAGACGTGACAAAACGGAAAAGAATGTCATGTAGGCAACTAAATCCTAAGAATGAAATATCCTATACTTTCAAGCTTTATCTCTATTCTAATCCACTAACACAAACTAAAGCAATAGGTATGTCCGCAAATCCTGCTAACAGAGAGTAGTATTTCAATCATACCATTTCAATGTAATTTATAGGAGTAATAGGTCGTTTCTCCCGAGATGTAGACATATTGACTTCTAGATAAAGAGGGGAAAGCAAAAATCTCAAGCCTTCAAGTTTAGAGTTTGATATAAAACCATTGATTATTTATTTGTTTGACTTTTGTTTCTTTAAAACAAAAACTCCAAACTGAGGGATATACCAAATGGTAGATCCTTATACGACGAATATAACAATTTTAATATGGTAATCTGTATTATTGTTTCAATGTATGAAGAAAAAATAATTAATTAGTGAGCTGACTATAACAGTATAAATGGGGATTGTGGCGGCAACAACGTGCTTGCTTGTGTCGATTTTTTCGTCTTATGAAAATGTCATAAAATCACCAAACTTAGCTAGGTTCTTCCTCTTCCTCATTGTTCTCTGCTCCAACAGAACAACTTGGTAACTGGTAAGTTCTGTTTTGACTGAAAGCTCTCTTACACAATAGTTTGAAGAAACACATTGTAATTTAGACATTGTGTTTTTTAAGTTTCAGGTAAAGCAATGGAAGAGAAAAAAGTAGCAAGAGCGTTAAGCGAACACCTATCTCTACCTCCTCCACCACCTCCTACTGTAGCGGTAGCCATTAATGGAAAGAAAAAGAGCAAATACGTGGCCTTTTGGGCTCTTGAGAAATTCATCCCCGAGGGATTCTCTGATTTCAAATTGCTCTATGTTCGTCCTCCTGTCACTTACATCCCTACCCCAAGTAAGTTTTGACTAATAAATGATTCACAATCTTATAATTGATGCAAAAGATCTGAGCTTTGGTTACAAAGATCGAGTCTTTCATCTTCTTAAGAGATATTTATGGGGTACGGTTCGATTTCAGTGGGGAATGCGATATCGATAACAGAGCTTAGAGACGACGTCGTATCAGCTTACAGGCAAGAAGTGGACTGGAACACAAACGAGATGCTTCGTCCTTACAAGAAAATGTTCGAAAGGAGAAAGGTTCTGTCTCAAGAACTAAATCTAAAAACTCCGTCTTTTTACCATTTTTTATTTCTTTTCCAAAATCTGAAATGTTTCCATATGGTGTAATAATAATAAAAAAGGTGCGAGTAGAGATTCTTGTGCTGGAATCACACGAGCCTGTAGCTGCGATAGCGGAAGAGATTGCTGGAACCGAAGTCACAAAACTCGTTATAGGAATGTCTCTTCGCGGATTCTTCTCAAGAAAGATCGATATGTCTTCTTTGATCGCAACAGCTGTTCCAAGATTCTGCACTGTCTATGTCGTCTCAAAGGGGAAACTAGCTTCCGTGCGTCCTTCCGATTCAGACGCTACCGGAAGCTTAAGATTCGAGAGGATCGAGAGAAGCAGTTCCACAAGTGGCTCCACTGATAGTCCTACACTCCCTTCAGGTAAATGCTTTACCTAAAAGCGAATCAGAATGAATCTCTTAAAAACGTCAGTTAATCAGTTATTTACTCTGTTTTCTGAAAACAGAGTACCAAGACTTACTCTCGTTTGTTTCGGAAGCACAATCAAGAGTCTCTCCTTTCTTCCCTGCTCCGAAACATTCGACATTCCCGGAGATGAGCAGCAGCTCCGCGGTGGTTACAATGGATACGAGTTCTAGCGAGACGGATCAATCGGAAGTATCTAGAGGGAGAGGGATGCAGATTGTACAAAGCGGTGGTAACGAAGGGAAGAAGAAGAAGAAGAATAACAATAACGACGAGAGCTTTAGCGCATCGTTTCCAATGGGAGTAGAGGCGTATCACGCGATGAGCTGGGCTTCTAAATGGAGAGATCACGAGGACAGGAGAGAGATCATGAGCTCGTCTTCGAGCAACAACCACGAGCTTATGAATATGGATTGGGGTGCGGTGGTTCCTGAGAACTATTCCTGGGTTTCTCATCAAGCTTCTAACGTGTCTGATGGTCTCCTCAGTGTCCATTCCATGACCGATAATCAGGTAAATCAATCTTCTTGATTCTTGATTCTGTTCTCTCCAGAGAGAACATAGCAGTTTTGTTCGTTTCTCTGTCTCTGTCTCTGCATTCAGAGATGAGAGCCAGACTCTTGATCTTGTTTCTGTTTTATCAAGAGAGACAAAACATGTTCTTTTGTTTGGAACTGAAACTAGATCTAACTGTGTAGGTGAATCTGAGCTTTGAGATAGAGAAGCTGAGAGCGGAACTGAAACATGTTCAGGAGATGTACGCAATGGCTCAAACCGAGACTGTGGACGCCTCGAAAAAGGTTTTGTTTAATAGAAACTGTGGTGTTTTTGGCATTATGTTACATTTTCATGTTCTTATTTCTTTGTGTTTGGTTGTAGCTGACGGAGCTAAACCAGAGACGGTTCGAGGAATCAGAGAAGCTAGTGGATCTGAAGGGAAAGGAAGTAGCAGCGAAAGATACAGCTTCAAAGGAGAAGAAGAGGTACGAAGAGGCGATGAAGGAAGCAGAGAAAGTTAAAGAACTCATGATGAGAGAGGCTTTACATAGAAGAGAAGCTGAGATCAAAGCAGAGCGTGACGCTAAAGAGAAAGATAAGCTCCAGGCTTCTCTCGTCTCTCCAGGGATCCAATACCAACATTACTCCTGGGAGGAAATCGCAGCCGCGACTTCAGACTTCTCGGAAGATCTCAAGATCGGAATCGGAGCCTATGGAACGGTTTACAAGTGCAATCTTCACCACACTACAGGCGCTGTAAAGGTCCTTCACGCAGGAGAAACTCAGCTCTCTAAACAGTTTGATCAAGAGCTTGAGATCTTGAGCAAGATCCGTCATCCTCATCTCGTTCTTCTCCTCGGAGCATGTCCTGAACGAGGCTGCCTTGTCTACGAGTACATGGACAATGGAAGCTTAGATGATAGGTTGATGCGAGTCAACGACACACCTCCGATCCCTTGGTTCGAGCGTTTCAGGATCGCTTTAGAAGTCGCTTCAGCGCTTGTCTTCCTTCACAAATCCAAGCCGAGACCGATCATTCACCGCGACCTCAAACCGGGAAACATCTTGCTTGACCATAACTACGTCAGCAAGCTCGGCGACGTGGGTCTCTCCACGATGGTTAACCAAGACGACGCTGCTTCTAAGCTTACCGTATTCAAGAAAACCAGTCCCGTGGGGACGCTCTGTTACATCGACCCTGAGTATCAGCGAACCGGGATCATCTCGCCTAAATCAGATGTGTATTCTCTAGGGGTTGTGATTCTTCAGCTGATTACCGCGAAACCGGCGATAGCGATTACTCACATGGTGGAAGAAGCGATTGGAGACGATGCTGAGTTTATGGCAATGTTGGATGTGAAAGCTGGATCTTGGCCTATTAGTGAGACTCGTGAGTTAGCTGCTTTGGGGCTGTGTTGTACGGAGCTGAGACGCAGAGACAGACCAGATCTTAAAGATCAGATCATTCCGGCTTTGGAACGGCTTCGGAAAGTTGTAGACAAAGCTAAAAACTCGCTCTCGAGAAATCCGTCTGGTCCTCCGTCTCACTTTATTTGTCCACTTCTCAAGGTTTAATTAAAACCCTAAGCTATGCTTAGTTACTTGTGAAACAAGAAACTCCTGTTTTCTTCTTGGTTTTGACCTAATTGTTTTTTGTGTTTGATCACAGGGAGTGATGAACGAGCCGTGCGTAGCTGCGGATGGATACACTTACGACCGTGAAGCCATAGAGGACTGGTTGAGAGAGAAGGATACGTCGCCGGTGACGAACCTTCCATTGCCTAACAAGCACCTTCTTGCTAATTACACTCTTTACTCAGCAATCATGGAGTGGAAATCTAATAAAAAATAGTGACACAAAATCCACAATAAGTACGATCGATTCTATCAATGTGTTTGCTATGATGTTTTTGTGTGTCTTTCTTCTCTCTGTTCCGAGGATTTATCTTTTGTGTGATGAGATGCAAGATTACAACAATAGAGAAAGAGAGAGTTAAATGTCTTTTGATTTAATTTTCTTTGTGTTTCCTGTCTCTTGTTTCTTCTCTTTATTGGTAACAATGTTACTCTAGTTTGAACTTTGAATCTCCCAAAAAGCTCTTGGCTTATCCAGTTATTCAATCTAGTGATTGTTTTATCATTCTATTTTTTCTCGTCTTTATATTTTTTATACGTATTAAAACAAATGTTGACGTAGACAAAACGTTCAATCAAACAAATCAAAATTTAAACCCAATCAAATTTGCCAAACCATAACATAAAGAAATTCCAGTCCTGACCATAGTAAAAGTGTAAAACTAAAAATTCGTGTACAACTAATTCGCACACCACAAATTTTGAATCCGAGTTATAGCATGACATCAGCCTGAATATAAACCACTAAATTATAAATTCTAGTTAAATGATAAAAACTTGTTTGAACACAAATAGAATTAAGCTCGACTGATCTGTAGATTTTGGACCAACAATATTCAATAAGATAGAAGCCGCACCTACTCTCATGTCAAACATTAACTCTCCACTATAACTTAAGGCCAACAATTTCACATAATCAATGATAAAGTTTAAAACTGTACTTATCAAACGCATAGCTTAAGTGCTCTACACAACATCCTTATCTCAGATTACCACCATCTGTTATTTTGTCCAACATTAATCGAATGTCGACTACACGAACACGAGGCATTTATTGCACATAATAAATGCGAAAAGTACATCTGTACATTCATATTGGACTCAAGTCTCTCAACTATAAATACATCCACAAGTAATCCGATGAAAAAAATTCAATTTAATATTTATCCGTTTTATTGTTTTTGTTTTGCTGACATTGTTTCATACTGTAATTTTTAGTGTTTTGAGATTTTACATAGCTTAAAAATACTAGTATACTTGAGATATTGGAATAGTTGTTTCATTGATTAAAAGAGGTGAGCAAATGAGAGCAAATTAGTAAATGGATAAGTTCACACTGAAAATAAAAGCAATATTCTCATGTTAACAATATAATAATCGAACGATAGTCTTTATAAAACAAAAAGAATATCATCTACCTTTTTAAATGTCATCTAAAATGCTGAAATGGTCAAAGCAATGAGCATCGGTCTTTGAGTTCTGTAAGCTGCTCTTTGAAACATGTTTGAGCCTAAGTATAAAAAAATCATTTAAAAATCTCTTTCATGTCACTACAAAAAAATTCTCAAAAGAAACCATATTGTAGTTGAACAAGAACAAGAAGAAGATACAAAATTGTTTTCTCTGCAGAAATGAAACACCCCACGAATTGAAAAGTCAACAATATTGATTAAACAAGTTGGTAGTCCGACAAAAGCCCAAGTTGTTCTGACTTTCGACGTCATCACGTTTCTCAAACCTTTGAGAGTTGAGACTACCGGAATAGACAGCACATATTCACACAAACAACCAAACTCTTCTAGACTCCTTTTGACATTTTCCAATCTTCTCTTCGTTTTTAATCATTATTCTTTTGAATCTTGTTTTCATATATTATGCTATTTCCATTAAGAATTTCAACACCTTTGAGCATAAAATTCCGTATAACTCCACTATTTTAATGAGGAGACCTTTTCACTGACTCAAATCTGATTCGTCATCTTCATTTCTCCTCTCCTCTCTCTCTCTCTCGCCATTTGTCAAGTTTCTCGGAAAAGCTTGAAGCTTTGAAGTCAAACATCATTAGGTATCTATCTTCAAATCTTATCTCATCCTACCACCATTGTTTAGCCTTTCTGGTATTTTCTTGAAAATTTTACAAATACAAAACCTTAAACCCTCATGATCTTAGCCGTTGATTTCATTAACCAGATCTTCCATCCTTTAATCATTATTTTTAAATTATTTTTTTATCCATTAAGGATTCAACTTGTTTGAGTTTGCCTAGAAAATGTCTTTGTAACTACATTAATTATTAATCATATAAAAACAGACTATTTCATGTCTCTCTCTCTCTCTCTTCTCTCTGTTTTGTCTCCTTAAGCTGTTAAAATCATCTCCACGAGGAGATTAAGGAAACAAAAGCTTGAAGCTTTGGAGTAAAAAACCATCAGCTTATCCGTTGAGAGCAGATCTTAGCGGTTGAGGATTAAGATATGGGAGACGGAGCTTTAATCGTAGCGGTAGCGATTAAAGGGAACAACAGCAAAACCAAAGGCGTTGTTCGATGGGCACTTCAACAATTCGCTTCTCAAGAACATGTCGTCTTCAAGCTCTTACATGTCCAACCAAGTAAGTTACTATTTATAGATGGACTTTACACAAGTTACTTGCAATCTTTTTGATATTTAAGTCCAAAAATTCGATCTGATCTGTAGTAAAAATAGGAGACTCGCATTCGGTTTCGTCCACAAGATCCAATTCGAACACTACAACGGTTTACAAGAAAGATGTTGATAGGAAAACCAGAGAGATGCTTATTCCAAGCAGAGACATGTTTGCTCATAGAGAGGTATCTGTTTAAAAACTGGACTTGGTTTGTTGTTTCTTGTTTTTGTTATCAAGAATCTGAAATCTTGTGAAATGTGGGAATGTGAAAGGTTGAATTGGATATAATGGTACTCGAATCAGACGATGTAGCTGATGCAATCTCTAAAGCTGTTCAAGATCATGGAATCAGTGAGCTAGTTATTGGAGCTTCCTCTTCTATTATCTTCTCATGGTAAAACATAATCAAAACACTTTCGAATTCTCTTGTGTTTTTTTTTTTTCCGATTATGTTCTTTAATTTTTGTTTGCTTCTTTTGCAGGAAGTTGAAGAGAAGCAACTTGTCTTCAAGAATTACAGATGTAACACCAAGATTTTGCACGGTTCACGTAATCTCTAAAGGAAAGCTTCTCAACGTTCGTAAATCCGATGTAGACATTGAAACAAGCATTGCAGATGAGAGAAGCGAAAGCCAGTTCTCTTCAAGTAGCCATTCAGGTAA